GCATGGGACCTCTGAGATCAAGGGGCTGGCACATGAAGCATGTCATCCTGCCACATCATCCCAAGGCAAAAGGTGAAAGGACCAGAGAGTGCAAGAGGAAGTGGAACTCATTTTCATACCAGATCGAATTTCACGAAAACAGATTCACACTTGTCATAGCAGCATTAATCCATTCACACTCGGATGGTCAAAACCCAACAAATCATTGGTAAACAGAGTAATCGGTTATAATCAAGACACGTGAAAGAGAGCTGTGGGAGCACCCAGTGATACTGAGAAAGCTTCCCAGAGAAAATATTTGCTAGCACATTTGAGGATTAAGTAGCTACTTTTAGGCAAATGAGTAAAGAATGTGTAAGGAAAAGGGAAGAGAACAAAGCATGACAGGCTTCTGTGGAGCATGGAGCTATCTGCAGTTCAGGATGCAGTAGATGTTGAACAATCATGCTAGAGAAAAGAGTAGAGGGGTAGGATAGTCTTAAGGGACAGTTCTGAGCCTGGAGAGAGATGAAATTGAAAAGCTAGAATAATAACCACATGATATGTGCACTGAGCAATTAGAAAATACCTACTATAATAGGGAAGGTAACAAGTAGATTTGCTATTACCGAGGCTTCAGTGTTACTTGGACATTTAGCCTAACGTTGAATTACATCGGTTCTATAATATATGCATACGCTGGCACACATACTATTTTTCAGAAGCCGTTTTATAAATTTCACATCTAGCTGTGCAAAAGAGGTTCCTTACTACACAAGCTATTCAGAATAATCCCGGGGAAGAAGAGTGGAGAATCTTAGCAACTCTCCTAAGCACACAGGCCATAGCCATATACTTAGCACATCTCTCTCACCAATGTTGAATGGCTCTAGCAAATTCAGTTGAACAGAATGCCTTCCCTTTGAAATTTGATCTCTTGCCAATTTATTTTAAATGTGGTACTTAGTAATTCTCATTAACTTGCCTTTTCCTCCTATCTGTTCCTTGCCTTTATTAATAATGCCAGATATCCCTAGGTTTAAAAAAATGAATATTTTTCAATTCTTTTTAAGCTCCATGGAATGCTCTCTTCGTTAATTATCTTCTGATTTTCTCTGACTCATCCATGGCCTCCCACACTAAGATCCCAGGCTAGTATAGATTTTATTGTGTAGCTGTTTTTCTGTGCCTTCCCATATGAGAGAATCAGCAGGTTATATTAATCATTAATTTGTGAGGCAGGTCACTTTTCACATCAGCTCTCCTAACATGTCAATTTTTATCACATTTCATACAAAAATGTACTAAAGAAATCAGTTCTACCTAGGTAAGAGCCTTCTGGCAAAGCTTTTTGAGAAAAATGAGTTAAAGCAAAAATGATTTTATTTCATTTAGTCCCAACAAAGTAGGAAAGACCGGGGCCACCGCTACCTACTAGAGAACTGTGAGGTTAAATTCAAAGTTGTGCTTATAAGAGGTGAGAGGCCAGAGTTTCAGCTTTGAAATTTGACCACCTTCTGTTTAAATTCCAGCTTTACCATTTGGTTGCTGCAGACCTTTGGTAAGAGTGTTTTGTTTGTTTGTTTGTTTGTTTGTCTTTGCTTTCATTTCACTGAGCTTAGACTTCTGTCAACTGTTCAGGGTTGAGTGGAATTAAGATCATGCATAAAAGTGGAAAATGCTGAGAATGGGGCCTGGCAGTAAATGGTCACTTAGTAAGCTATAGTTACTACTGTTATCACTATCATCAGTCCAGTCTACCACAGAGCAAATATAAGACTACAAGTCAGGAGTCCAAGTTGTGTTCTTAGCTATACCACTAATAAGGCAGAGACACTGTGCCTTCTCTGTAGCTCAAGAAACTGTCTCTATAAAATGAGATCTGCTGATGGATCTCATTTTTTTTTCTTAACACCCAATAATCATAAGAACACTCATTCCTAATAAGCGAGAGCACGGGGCTCAAAATCATTCTCAATACTGGGTTCCAATTAGCTTCTCTTGCACAATTAAAGTTGGCAAATGAAATGAAGCTTATTTGCCTTCCTTCAATTAAATGAGCTCAGATGTACCTTTCAGGACAAGCATTATATGGCTCTGAGGGAAGAGTGCCCTGTAATAATGTTGGCATCTCAACTGAGATGAAGGGCTCTGAGTTCAGAGAGCGACTTCCTGTGTAAGGAGATGAAAGCAAACAATTCAGCTCTGTGTGACACATTAAGATCCACCTAGATTTATGTTTGTTTCTTCGCTTGTGTCTGAGCTCTGTGACCTTTGGCAAGTTGCTTAACTCTCTAAGCTCCGTTTTCCTCACGTGTGAAAGTAGTTAAAAGATGGTTTTGCAAGGGATGTGTTAACATGGTAGGAAATTGGACAAAGGATACATGTACTGCCATTACAACTGTTTTGAAGATCTAAAATTATGCTGAAATTTAAAAGCTTATTGAAATTGAGCAAAAAGGGAATTGCCCTGAGGAACCTTGGAAAACAACTAAAGTAAGTATGGTAAAGCTCCTAGTTTGGTTCTTTTATTTGGTTCTTTTACATGTCCCCTAGGGACATCTCCCTTTACCTACACATTCAGATTTGTAGAACACCTAAAGAATCAGGACATATGTTTGCTAGACTGTAATGCAAGCAGGTTGACCAGTCTGGCAACATTGCAACTCAGAGCCTTGCTGCCAAGCGGAAGCCCAGAAGGCAAGGTCTGATCCTCCTTAAAACCAATGAATGTATCTCACATGGCCAGAAAGCAAACCAGCTGGCCCATCTTTATTGACCTTTGGATGTATAGTGTTGTGGTAGGTAAACACAAGGGGTGAAAAAGAGAGAACTAGACTAAAACCTAGATGATGAGATGTGCCCATAGACAACCAGGGAAGCAGGTTCTCACTTCATTCCCCAAGCTCATGCTTAAAACAAAAGCACTATTTCCAGCTGGACCTTGAGATAGCCAAAAATGTTAGTAGGTGATGTGGGAGAAGACAAGAGGAGACCAGTGCTGTCCCAAGGTTTCTTTGCCCTCTAAATCCTTTTCTTTTTTCTGATGTCTATTGAAGTGTAGAAGGGTGTAGGTGGCATAGCCTTTGTAGACTGTTTCCCAGGTCTGGTGGGTTTGGTCAAAATTTGGGAAAGGTAAGACATTAGAAAGCAAGAGGAATAAAGAAAGCAAAATATTTTTCTCTCTCCCTTTCTAACTTGTTTGATGTCTAACAGTGACTGGGCCTCTTTTGTGACTCTGGAGTTACTGATGAGGTTACTATTACCAGAATCTGACCCAGCAGGAAGTTTTAGCATAGGAATAGTAGCCTGAAGATGCAGCTCCTTCATGGCTTGCCAGGTCCCCCACATTGAACCCTACTCTCTGGAAATGGTCAAGAGATTCTGCTTCCTGGGTTGAATGGCCATCACCTGTGTTGCTAATTCTATGCTCTGAACCCAGAGTCCCTGAAATCCTCAGGTTCTGCATTATGGATTGGACTCAAGGTAATGGATTCTCTGTTAGCCAACAGCCCAGATTCCTTTTTCCCCGCTAGCCAATTTTCGATTTGGAATGCAAAATTTTTAATAAACTTAGGTAGAAAATTTGGGTATGGGGTCAAGGAAGTAGAAATGGCCTGGGAAATTAGAGATGGAGGTCAACTCAGGTTGGGGTGCATCTAAGGAGACTTTCTTGGAAATGGGGAGGGAGTGAGTAAACAGAAGCAGCTATACTAGTCCTGCTGTTTCTTATGTTTGCCCTGGCCTCTGCATGTTCTGGGACTCCAGAGCAGGTCTAGGCCTAAAGGGAGGGGAGAAACAAGGTCACAGAATCCAATCCAGGAATAAGAAGAGGGGCAAACATAGGAGGATGTCATTGTCCTGTTTTTAAGTTGAGGCTTTGGTGAAAAACAAACATAGGAGTCCAACTGATCGTATCAATCAGACTGTCCTAATGGACCATTATCAGACTGTCCTAGGGAAAGAATTTGCTTGAGGCTAAATGGCAAAGACTTCAATAGCAACAGAAGCCATGCAGTACCATCCTAAGGACAGTAACCCCTTCACTTAATTTCCTTGCAAATTGTGTTTGGGACTACATAGACCCGGGCATAATACTTGAGTCCCATTCATCTGCCACTAATTGACTGTGTGACCTTGTGCAAGGCACTTAATAGCTCTGTCTCCATTTCTCTTTGTAAAACAGGGCGAGGGGAGCCTAGGCCCCTTCTTACCTAAAAGGGTACATTGTGAATGGTCAGTAAGCATCAAGCTGCAATTCCAGCTCTGAGCTACAAAAGATGCCCATGACGTTCTTCTTACAGTGGTTGAATAAGACAGACGAATAGGGTAATTTTGTGCTCAATAGCATGGTTAGAAAGGAATTCTTGTTAGAATAGTTTGGGGTAATAACAATTGCCGTTTATTTATGAAAATATGCTCAACTTATTTAAGATGCATGCTGAGCATGTATAGCTAAATGAGAGGTGCCTAAGATTTATTTCAAAATATTTAGGTAAAGCAAAAAAGAGAAAAAGAAAAGAAGGTAGTTAGAACTAACTTGAAAAATCTTAATAGTTGTTAAATATGGGTGCATTAGGGGTTTATAATAGTTTTCTATTAACTTTGCATATGCCTCAATTTTTCATAATACTTTAAAAAGCATATATTTTAGAGTTGAATCTGGATTTAGCTTCATTTTTAAGCCCTTATATGGTGAATATATTTGCAGCTTTGAACATTGACTCAGTATCAATAGGTGGATTAGACAAGAAAAATATAGAATCAGAATTCCCAAGTGGAAGAAAGTGAAAGATATTTAGGTGGGTAGGGTGACTGAGGCAGGAGTATAAAAAGTTTGACACCAGGCTATGTTACAAAAATGAGATCTGGAGCAGAAAAGGGAGAGAGGGAGAGAGGGAGAGAGGAAGAGAGGAAGAGAGGGAGGGAGGGAAAGAGAAAGGGAGAGAGGGAAAGAGAAAGAGATCATTTAGATTTAGATTTTTCTATGGCCAGAAAAAAATTAAAAGTGTCCATTTTACCTTCTCTAGTGTTCCTTCAACTTGGAAGACCAGAGTGTTGTCTGGTAACTTCTCTCTTAGACCCTGCAGACACTCTGTGACCTCTGCTGTTATAGTCAGCAGCTAGACAGGTCTTAAGTCCTCCACGGGGGTACCATGGAAACCAGGTATGGGCTGCATTCCTAGCCTCTGAGTGACTCACCTAGTCCTACCTAATCATCCTTCCTGAGAGACCTAAGGCCCCCTTAGATTACAAGCAAATGGCCCCTACCTCCCTCCCCTGGCTATTTCCTTCAAAGCTCCACAGACTTGTGTAACAGCAGTCAGGAGGCAAAAGTTAAACAGCTGTGAACTGACTCCAGATGCTTCCATTTAGTAACATTCTAAGCAGGTCACCTCCATGCTCCATGTTGTTAGGGTGGGACAAGATGATGCATCCCTCAGTGAATAACAGGCAGATTCCTCAGCACTGTACCAGGAACCTGCCCACATCTTCAGCCATGGTGAAGAGAGACTGAGAAGTGAGCTAGAATGTCTTTGAGGCAGGGCCTGAGGGTTTGCCTTCAAGGAGTCCTCTTTAGTATGGGTCCTGGGGTAAATGAGCACTTGCTCATTATGCAGGAGACCCTAGATCCCTTCCTAGTACAAAAAAAAATCCTGAATTGATCAGATTCTTTAACTTTGTAATTGTTCTTGATCTAGTATCATAGGCTACTATCCAGGCATGGTAGAACAAACCAACATTCCAGCACATTGGATGTTGAGATTAGAGGATTGCCTTGAGTTCAAAGCCAGTTTGGTTCACGGTGTAAGTCTCCATCCTCCCATACAATTAAAAGAGAAAGAGAAACAGAAACAGACAGATCTCTAGCTATCAGCGCAGAATCTGGACTTTTAAGAATCTCGGGACAGCCCAAGGCTGCCAGGCAACCAGCTGAATGACACATAGCCCCCCCCCCCAACTGCTCTGCATATGCTGCCTTATGTCCGGAGAGTTAGCATGCCCTTCCTGAAGGCTAAGCAAAATGCCACAAAAGCAACCTGGGTGCCACAGTTTACAGTCGCCATCTTCTAGCTCGAGAGACAGAAGCAGAGAGAGGAGAAGGGGGCCGTGCACCGTGATCCAATGCATGTGCAAGAGTTCGCAAGTGGCAAGCAGGCACCCTCATTCTCACCCTCCCGTCTGCTTTCTTGCCCCTGATACCCCCCCCCCCACATACACACACACACTGGAAATAGAGTTGGGCCAAACAGTGCTCAGGCAAAGGAAAGCCAAAGGTTGGATGAGAGAAAAAAAAAAAATGGAAGACTAGAAGAAGAGTGACCCTTTTTTTTCGAGCAGTATAACTTGGCTGTCATTTTGTAGGACACAAGGAAAACTTGAGAAGCCTAGGCAGAGTGATGTGTTGAGGAGCGCGAGTCCCAGGAGGAAGGAGAAGGCATCGAATCCTTTTGTTCCTGCTTTTTCCTCACGGTGTGACCTTGGGCCCATTCTCCCGTAAATGGAGATAAAGAAATAAGTGTTTCTGTCACATAGGCTTGTTATGAAGATCAAAGACAAAGATAAAGTACCTAGCAAATACTAGTTGCTTAATAATCACAAAGGCCAATAGGCACCTGCTGTATGTTTTCATTGTGTTCTTTTTCTGTATAGGTGAGGAAAGGCTAGGCTCATAAATGTTAACTAACCCCCCCAAAAAAAACCCCACAGAAAATTAGTGATTGTACCAATATTTATTTTATCTTTGGGTGCTAATGAATGTGTGTTTTGGGGAGTTATATGTGCATGTGTGTATGTGCTCATCTTCACACAAGTGTGGATGAACAACTTGCTCATATGGAGGACAGAGGCCAGCCTCAGGTATCAGTCCTAACCTTCCGTTTTGTTACAGACAGGAACTTTTTCAGCATGGGAACTTTCAGGAATTCGCCTACCCTCACCTCCCACCTCGGAAGGAGCACTAAAATTGCAGGCATGTGTTACTGGGGCCCAGTTCTCTGTGTGTTAGGGCGATTCAAACTCATATCATCACACTCGAAATGCAAGTTTTTCACCCACCGAGTAATCTACCCACCCCAGTACCAGTATTAAAACACAGGCAGGCCTAAGAATTAAAGACCATGTAAACGAGGTAAATGTGGGCTTAATCCAGGCAGCCAGGCTTGTTTGAGCACATACTGTCATAAAGAAGTTTCAAACAAGCCAGGCAGTGGCGAGCATGCCTTCATTCATAACACTCAGGAGACAGAGGCAGGAAGATCTCTGAGTTGGAAACCAGCAAGTTTCCCGGACAGATAGGGCTATACTAAGAAGCCCTACACAAAAGGAGGAGGAGGAGTTGTTTTAAGCAGAGACCAAATCCTAGTCCTTCTCATCTGTGTCTTGAGCCTGATGATTCCTAATCCATCATTGTCCACAGCTCACATACTATTCAATGTCTACTGCCCAATCTTTTACCACATGCCTCCTTAATTTCACAAGACACATAGAAACATCAATGTTGAAGTCTCAAATGCCATTTCTCCCTCAGGCCTCTTCCAGAAACTCTGAGAGTTGAATGATAAATGTCATGACACACCAACTGAGTCACTCTGCTCTAAACCACAAGACATTTCTATGTGTAGTACAGATCCCATGCCCTAACTATAAATTTCCAATCCAACTCATACTCAAGAGGCACTTTAGCATAAGTCCTCATGAAGGGATTAATATAAGATTTTTAGCTCTTTTTCTTTTACTATATTTTGAGTTTTGGATCCATTTTCTTTCACATACTTCTGAAGCCGATAGATGAATAATTGCCTGACAATATCACATTGTCATTTTTAGACATGTTATTTCAAATGTCTAATCAATATGAATCCATTTGTCATTTTTTTCTTCAAGCATGGATCATAATAAACTCATTTGTGATTCATGAGAATATAAAATATGCTGTTACAGAAATTTTATTTTAATTCAATATTATTGGTCTTTTAAAATGAAACATTATCTGCTTCCTCTTCTGAACAGAGAATTCACAGGTAATAACCCAGCAGAGGGACAGAATAATAGTTTTCATAGGTTTTTTTTTTCAGCATTTGACAAAACCAAGAGCAAAAATTAGCTATGTCTGCATGTTGCCAAAATATCTGGTTGAATAAAAAGATGATGTCGTTCGGTGACTAGACTGTTACTCCAAGTACTTCTTGTCAATACGTAAGTATCTGATGTAAGAAGACTGACGTATTTCCTTTTCATCCACATAGGAATCTTGTATCCTATCTCTGGCTTCTGCCCAGGTACAACTCCATGACTGAGGCAGAGCCCTTTTCCAGGATGACTTGTACCACCATTTCCCTTCATCTCATCACTTTCACTTTAAACTTTGGAGCTCTTTATTTCTGTCTGTTTAATATTTTCATATTTCATGGAAGATTATTAAAGCAACAGTAGGAGGCTTCAACAATGGCAAAGGGATCATGCCTATTCTAAAGAACACAGGCAGGGCAACGAGAAATCAACAGTGTAACACTTGGCAGAAAATTGTTTAGTCTAGGTGAGGGCTTATTAACCCACGCTCACCAGAGGCTACTGTGATAGCTCTGAGCATGATGGTTGGGGAAACAATGCCTGGCCCACAAATGCAGCAGCCGACGGCCCACATGGCAGTCACACGCACTCATAATACATTATTCAATTGTTGCTCTGAATTGGGTTAGTGGACAGTCACAGAATGAGGAGCAAAACAAGGGGATTTCACTTTATCAAAGCAAACCCCAAACAGCTCAGTCGACTGAAAAGCAGCCCGGAAAAGCAGCGATTTCAGCACACCTTTTCAAACTGCAGATCCATAGAAAATAACACCAAATTGTAGAAGGAAGGAAATAGGCAGAGAGAAAGGGCTTCAAAATGAGTCTCTCCATTTTACATCCCAGCGTAAATGGGGCTCCCTTTGAAGTCGTGGCTACTTTGAATAACCATTGTTCCAGTTGAGGAAAAAAAAAGTGGTGGAGAGAGGAACCACCTTTCTTCACCAAGGCTGACTTTGGACAGTACAAGACAGTTAGCTGTCCACCCTGGTGGTGAGGACAGGGAGAACTTGCTAGCCAACCCTGCAGCTGCCCAGGCCCAGAACCAGGATTATGATTGGCGCGCCCCGCCCTAACTACGATCGTCAGGAGCAGGTAAAAGGACCTAACCCGAAGATCCAAAGCTGCGGGATCTCCACAACATAAGGCAACAACAAAATACCCAAGAAGAGTTCCAGTGAGGGCTCAGCATCAATAGTGGAGCGGAATCAATGGTGGAGCGGAAACCGGAGGCCTCGAACCACACCGATGACTCTTTGCAATGAGCACTTGCAAGTAAAGATATATGGACAAAGAGGTTTCCATGACAAGGTTTTTAATATTTCCTTTTTTCTCTTAAATTTTGTTTTAGGGGGGAGCATTGCAAGGGCAGAGGGCAAATGTGAACGGATGAAGAAATGAATGGGATCAAGATGCATGATGTGAAAGACACAGTGAATAAATAAAAAGAAAGTTTAAAAAAAGACAGCTCTCATGAGATAGAAAGGTACACTGCAGAGGCTTGCAGAGGCTTGTAAGAGAGATGAGAAAGCCTGTCTTGAAAGTGCTCATGATCAAAATCAATCCCACTTTCTTCTTCTTGGCTCTTGTTGTTTTAAAGAACACTGCCTCACTAAATAGCTCAGCTGACCTCAAACTTGTGATCCCCCTGCCTCGGTCAACTAATAGATGGATTACAGAAATATGCTACCACACTTGGCTTCAATTTCACCTTCCTGATAATGCTGTTTGACTGGCTTAATCAGCTGTATAACTAGAGTAACCAGACAATTTAGTTAATAGGTCTCAGCACCTCCTGAACCTAAAACCAAAACAGAACTGGCTTTCTTTCTTTATTTTTGGGAGTGGTGGTAGTGTTGTTGATAGAGCCGAAGGTGTGATTTCTCCTGAGCACTGTGCCTTCTGGGTCTACAGTAGTGGAGAGTCCCCTGAGCCCCTCTGGTCAGTTCACATAGATTCACGATCCACTTGAGATCTGGTTTGAAAGTGAAAGATAAAAATGAGAAGTCGCTGCTTCTCAGATATTTTAGTGGAAGGCA